CGACCTCTCGGGAAGTAGTAGCAGAGCTCCATGGGAGACCGACGTCAATTTCTCGTCTTCAGAGTCGAGCGTAGTGCTTCCCTCGGACGCTGACCTAGAGACCAAGGCGTTCGTGGAGGACATGAATGAGAATTGGAACGAGAGAAGAAAACCCAAAGAGGAAAAGCAGCAGAGTGAGAATGGGTCGTCGCTTTATAGCTTGGATAGTATTAAGAAGGATTACAGGATCAAGAAACAAAGGATTCACGCTGGCCTTTGGATGAAGGAGATTGAGAAGCAAGAGGAGGCTAAGTTGGCCGACTCGAATTCTTTTGGTAGTGGGGACGATATCGAGCGATTGCTCGATAGCTGCTCCGAGTATGCTCTCCTTCTGCTTTCTTTTTTCTTTTTCTCATTGTTTTACTCTGTTTTGTATGTGTGTATGTATGCAGTTTGTGTATCCATTTTGAATGTGTTCAGTATGCGGATTGGGTTCTCGTTCGTGTATTTGATATGAATGCCCTGTTGTCCATTTGATGTGGGTTCTATGTCAAATTTGAGATATTTCACTTGCACGCATACCCAATAGTTATTTCATTTGTTATGTTTTAATGTTTTGAGTCTGATTGATTGTTTTCCAAGTCTTGAATTTTTTCTTGATGTTACTGGATTAAATATGCATGTGTTAATGCTCATAGAAAAAAGTTTTGAAGGGTGCTTTTTAATTTACTTGTTGGGTGTACTATCGGGATACTTGCAGCATTTTTTATTATGCCAACAACAATTTGGAAAACTCTAAAGCACCGAGTGCTTCCGACTTCAAAAACAAACCGGACGGTTGGGAAACGACATCCAAGGCTAAGGATGGAAATGTATGGGAGATGACACAGAGAGAGGAAGATATTCTTCTCCAAGAGTTTGAGCGTCGAATTGCGTACAATAAATTTCAGGTGTGTAAATACACTCAAACAGACTTGTATTTTCCTTCTTCCCTTATACAGTATGTTCCGAGTGTAAGCATAATATAAATGAAGAGTGCAACTCGTAAGATTAATCCCAAGTTTTAGATTGTCTGTATAAATCTTTATCAAATCTTAGACAAGGGTGTACAAGTGTTGCACATGGCTGTGGTGCATCAGACTTGGTAAAAGAGAACTTTTGAAATTTGACTCTTATGTATGGAATGATGCTACAGTGTCTCCTAGTATTTCTGGTTGTGTATTCAACCCCTTGTTGCCTGTAAAGACTGTATTTTCTGCATAATGGCACCACAACTCCTACAGTTTTTCTACTGAAAAAAGTTTGAATGTACTCTTTCATTACAAATTTATCTAGCTATGCCGACGTCTTCCTCTTTTACCTCTGTCCTTTCTTACTCATGGTTATCTGACTTTGACATGCAGATTGCTAGTTTTATCAAGACTCACATATTTAGCCGGAGGAGACCAATTGATGGGTGGAAATACATGATAGAGGAGCTAGGGCCAAATGCAAGGAAAGGGAAGGGTTCTGTTACAAGATTACCAAGTCTATCCGATGCATCAACCCAACCCTTTAAGGAGGAAAACAGTGCAATGAGTGGCAGCAGCATTATGCCCTTTAAGGAGAGGTAGTTTGCTTTTGGACTATGTTCATATATTCCCGTGTGCTCGGAGATTTCAGATATTGGGCAGTAATGACCTTCCTTTGTTTAGAGATACCAGCGTCAAAAGTATTCATAGCTACCGTATAAATTCATTCTGGCAATTTTGATCTCTGGCTTTCTCAATGTATGATCGTACCATCCTATAGGCAACTGAATGCAATTAATGTAAGTGAAAGAATGTATGCATTTCCTTCAAACCTGCTGTTCCAACTTCTGAATGGCATATTAACTTATAAGCCTTCAATATGGTTTCAATGTAAAGAATACCCTTTTTGCATTTGTACTGTATTTCTAGGAAAATGGAAGATGCACATAAGTTGTTTGATGAGTTTCCTCAAGGAAATGACTTGATTTCAAGGAATACTTTGATGGGTGGTTATCTTCATGTGTCTCAGCCTCAAGTGATTGTAGATTTGTTCAAGAAAATGTGTAGGAGCTGTTTTGAAGCTAGTGTTACCACCGTTTTGAACCTTTTGTCTGCCATTGGTGATTTAGGGAGTTACCTTGGAGGAGAGTCTCTTCATGGGTACTGCATCAAGATTGGCTTTTGTTTGGATTTACATGTGCTTACTGCTTTGATTGATTTGTATGCAAAGAATGGGCAAATTGATTTAGGACGTCGGATTTTTGTTGGAGTTGCTGTGAAGGATGTTGTATTATGGAATTGTTTGGTAGATAAGTATGCAAAATGTGGCCTGGAACAAGAAGCAGTAGCTTTGTTGCGGTTGACTTGAAAGAATGAAACCCAATTCATCTACATTGGCAGGACTGCTTTCGGCTTGTGCTGCTTCTGGGTCTGTAAGTGTAGGGAGTTGCATTAAGGATTATGTGGAAGAGGAGAACTTGGTTTTGGATTCAGTTCTTGGTACAGCTCTGGTTGACATGTATGCTAAATGTGGGTTTTTGGAGAAGGCACTTGACATATTTGAAAGCATGGAAAGTAAAGTTGTGAAATCATGGAGGAGGAGGGTTGCCAACCTAATGAAGTCAACTTTCTTGGCAGTGTTAAGTGCTTGCAGCCATGGAGGGCAGGTGGCAGAGGGAGTTAGATGTTTTGAGATAATGGTTTGTAAGTACGGCTTTGTGCCAAAGTTGAACGCTACGGTTGTATGGTTCATCTTTTGGGTCGTGCAGGGTTGCTGGAGGAAGCACATACACTAATTGAAAGCTTGCCAATCAAGAGTGACGTTACGGCATGGCGTGCATTGCTTTCAGCTTGCAGGGTTTATGGGTACGTTGCTCTTGGGGAAACTGTAAAGAGAGTGTTAATAAAACGTAATGATGATCATCCCACCAATTCAATGCTTCTATCAAGTGCTTATGCGATTGCTGGAAGGTTGCCAGATCATACGAGAAGAACACAGGAAAGGGAGGATGAAAAGATTGTGAGAGGAGAGAAATTCAGGCCAGTTAGAAAAGAAGAAAACCTGATAAAGGAAGCTGGACGTAGCACAATTGAGACGGATACTCAAGGTTGAAAAAATTAAAGTCATCAAATGACCTGGTCTATATTTTTGTATTGTTTTTCGTTTGTTCGAGACCTGTGTTAATGACTTGATGTAACATACCTTCAAACAAAAAAAGAGATTAGAAATTGATATTTTGGTACAAAATTTGAATCATAGTTTCATGGTATCAGCTTCGGCTAGTAAGCCTCTTAAGCCCCGTTTGGTGGGCTGGATTGAACTGGTTAGGATAGACTTTGAAGCATTGAATTGGTCTGGCCTAGACTGGTTAGGCTTTGAGTCCAGTCCTATTCATTTTTGCACCAAAAAATAGACTCGAATTAACTTTTTTTAAATTTTATTTTTAATCAATCAGATTTTTATTTTATTTTTTATTAACAATAATCAAATGCAAAATTCCAATTTTTTGCCTCAGATTGAAGAAAAACCTTGGAACCACATGCAAAATCCTAAACAAATCAAGAAAACTCATAATATCAATAATCAAACTCATATCAAGATTTAAAAAAACAGGAAAAAAAAATTCAAACTCATATCAAGTTTAGAAAAACAGAAAAGAAAAAATATATAATCTATTGCTAGTTGTTTTCCTTCTTCGTCTCTGTTTTCTCTGATTCACGCGGCTGTCGGGCTTTGTTTGATTTTGTTTTTGAAGTGGATTTATACATAGGTACCAGGTTAGTCAACATGATAGACAACTGAGATTTCTTCAGTCTTTAGATTGCTTCGGCGATGCCCAATCTCTCCTGTAGTCGCATAAGAGAGCATACCGCGGAGGCGATGACTCCGGCGATGGGTCGAAGGTGGTGGAACAGAGAGATTGGACAGAAGATAAAGGACAGAGAGAGGAGAGAGAGAAGAGAGAATATAAAAGAGGAGAATAGAGAAGAAGGCAACGAGATGGATGGGAAGGAGAGAGACGGTGACAGAGGTTTCACTGTAAACCCACATCTGGGGTTGGGTTTCATAACCCTAGTTATTTGGGACTTGAATCCGAAGGCTCATATCCAGAGTTTTTGACATTCTAATACCTCAGTCTACCTGCAAATGCCGACTCCAAATCCTTTGATCGAACCCCAGCAAATGATTTAGGGACACATTCCAGTTGAGAGGAAGAGGACAATGGGATGTTTGCTACTGGAGAGCTTACTCTGCACTTTTTATACTGTGCCGCTCACATAACTTCAGCCCACCATCTCTCTACTGCTTCTGAAACAATAGGAAATTTCATTATCTGGAATTTCCATTGCTTCTTGGTTCAATCTGAGCAAGTCATCTTGCTTACACCTCAGACTTGGAATTTTTATTTTATTAAAGTTCAATTAGTTTACAACTTACCTGATGCAGAATGCAGATGAGGAAAAGAAACTTTTTAATTCGACTTTTAGAAAGAAAACAGAAACCTCAAATACATTTGATTGGGGATTTCAAAGCAATGTTCCTAAGAACACTCGAATTTAAGGATGGGAGGTAAGCATCCTAAGCTTCTCCCTACTATACAATCAACTTGCTGATGAAAAATAAAGCAAAAGCATACATACATATGGACTTTTTCATGATTCTGTAAACAAAGTTTAAGCCTTTTTATAAGCAACACAAAGTACCATAACAGGTTACAATGGTGAAGCCTCTCAGTGCCTCCTTATCATTTAATCTCTCGCGCAACTACCATCATGAAGAGAATTCCATTCTCCTCCACATCCATAGCAGAACTGGAATTGGCACCTGCAAACACAAAATACAGCAGATAAAACTTCCACCAAGTAAAAGCATTAAACCTGCATTAACCATAATCTAATTTGTTTCATCATCAGCCAAAACTTAGGTGCACCCGAGGTTTTATTGGGCATAATAACCATCTAAAACCCATTATGGATAACATGATACATAAACCTTGATGGTGACGCTAAAGACGAAGACGACGACGTGCATTATGGAAGTAACAATGGGGGATTTTTCATCTTTTCATAAGATGATTATTTGACTAATACCATGTGTTTAGATTGGATTTTCATCTTGGTCATTTGATTAGATACATTATTATGATTAAACACATATATGTTGTACCTATGAATGCATAAAGAACTTACTTGAATAATGTACCTAACGAAAACCAAAACCAAAATTAAAATCTAATCTAACTTCTTGGTTTGATCAAAAAATCATTTTATTCGAAGATAAGAATCTAATGTTCTAAAGCAAATCAATAATATCCATATACCAAAAGAAACTGACCTGCAAGAAATGTGCATACAACCTTCAGTCCTCTCCACATAAAATTTGCACCTGGGGCACCTCTTCCACTTCTTCTGCTTTGCAAGCTCCTTCACCATAAGATCTGCCCTCCCTCTCTCATCCTCATTAAGCCTCTGAAACTCCTCACAATCAACCCCTGGGTGCCATGGCACTTGGCATCTTGCACAGAACAATCTATGGCAAGCAGGGCACTCTGACTCTCTTATGCCTTCACCTTCATTATCAATGATCAAAACTATTGAGCAATCACTAAAAGGGCAGTAAAGTCTTTGTGCCCCAAGAACCAAAGCCTCGCAGAGGGCATCATTCCACCTCTCAAGAACCTCTCTAGGAAGCATTGGCCTGCAAGCATCAAGCTCAAGCACAGCCTTGCAGCCCAAGCCAGGGCAAACAACAATGTGAATGTTGTCCTGGATTTTTGAGGCAGCATGTTTGGCTATGCAGTCAGAGCAAAAGGAGTGATCACAGCTCTCATTTCTGAACATCTGGGCAGCCTCCTTCATTTCAACACAAATCCCACAGACGATTTGTGGCTGAATTGGGTTTAGGGTTTCATGAATTGGGGTGGATTGGGTTGCTTGGGAAGCTTGGATTATTGTTGTTGATGATGTTGAGGAGGAGGCGGCGGCGACGGCAGCGGTGGCAGAGGAGGAAGACGACCCAACATTGAGTGTAGTTTGGGAAGCGATCGAAGAAGACACTAGAGCCTCCTGGAACTGCAACTCTTCTGCATATCTGGAATCTGAGACTGGGTCATTTTCGTCTTCATGATCACTCTGATCAAATAGTGCTGAGAAGTAGAAATCGTCTACATTGAGATGAAGATTAGCAGAGGCTAATTCTTGTGCCATAATATGATTCAAAACCCTAGCTGCTCACTTCTAATCTCAAAAACTGTCAGGGCAGTTCTATGATGAAAATCAACTATCTATCTATATAAAATAGGAAGTGGCAAATGCTTTTACAGCAAACTTAGCTAAGAAGGTCATCTCCAATTGGATGCTCCCTTTTACTCAGTGCTCATCCTTCGTTGAGGGGTTGTTTGCTTTTTGGGACTGTGATTTGACTTTGACTTGCTTTGATTTATCTCCAAATATTTTAAATTTAGATTAAATACTTTTTTGGTTACTAAAATAAAAAAACAAAAAAACAAATAGTCACTATGTTTTTCAAAATTTACATTTTTAATTTTTGTAGGAAGCACCTTTAGTCAAACCAAACCAGACCAAGATTATGTTAGGAAAATCTTGGGTTGAAGGAACATTAAGTAAAATAAAAAAGCCAAACCAAATTAAAAATAAAATCAACTTTGCCAAAAAAGAAAAAAAAGAAATCAACAACTTACCAATATAGTTTGGTTCTCCATCATTTTGATTACGTCTTCTTGCCATCCAAAGTTGCAATACAGTTCTCACTCAATCGATTCCGGTTTTAATATAGAGCACCAAAATATAGAAATTTGATTGCACCAAAATATAATAGAGGAAGAAGATGGAACATGCTCTCTAGAAAACTAAAAATAAAAACTGCACTTGACGGAAGATAACGGAATGTCTATAAATTGTATACTTTGGGAAACACAGTGACTAATTTGACTAAAAAAATTTCTCAGTGACCAAATTGAATTTTCGTGTAAAACTCAGTGACCGAAAAGGTATTTAACCCTTTAAATTTTCTTCTAGTTTTAACTCAAATAATTTTACAAGGTTTATTTTTTGGCCTGCAAATAATATTCTGCTAACAATGGTTTTGTGTGTGTGTGTGTGTGGGAATTTTAGGCACTCTGACTCGCATCAAACTGCATATAGAATGAGGGACTGCTTTTGGCTCCACAGTGAAAGGAGGCATTGCGCAAAAATGTTGGGACGCAAACGCCGATGTAAGCAACAATCAATATGTAATTCACACATAAGCACGACGAGAGAGAAACAAAATTTACTCAAATTCTAGTGCAACAATACTACTTACCCACATATACTAGAAACTTCTTCAAAATCAAAAGTGAAAACCTTTGATTTAAAATTTGTAAATTATATATATACCAAATTTGGATAACTTCCACTGTTACTAAAATTGGATAACTTCACTTTCCCAATGTGAAACCATAAACGAAAACCTACTGATCAAATGAAACTACATGAGTTTCAGCAACAATGGCAATTCCTATCACCACACCCACCAACACATTGAACAACCCCACACCTTTCAACAACCCCCATTAAAACCCCACCTTCTAATAACAAAGTGACTTTAACAGATGGGTTTTATACTTTGAGGCGAAAATAAATAAAAAGTAGGTAAATAGATAAAAACTTGAAGAAAAAAAAATCTGATACATTTTTCTTTAATGGGATTAGAGATGTCAAACGGGACGGGCCGGCCTAACACGGCACGAGCCCAGCTCGTTTAAATGAGGCACGGCACGAGTCTAGTCAACTTAAAACTCAGATAAAAATGCCTGCCTTTTGTATTTGTCTCTTTTCCTCTAATGAATAAAATCATACTGCCTTCTCTGACTAAAAATAAAAAAGTAAAAAAGTTGCAAGTAGACTGTAAACAAAAACAAGAGACACCACTTATCCAACAATGTAATAGGTAACAATTTCTCTCTCACTGTCCACATAGTGCAGAGAATACAAAAGCTCTTGAATTTCAACTTGATAAACATTGAAACTGAGGTTTGCCCTCTAATGAATAAACACTAAAAATATATAAGAAAAACAAGATTTCTTGAATTCTGATTATTCTGAAGCCAACTGGTAATTAGTCTGAGGTAGCTGCAATGAAGAAGGCTGCTGCTGCTGCTGTGGGTCTTGAGGAGAGGCCAAGTCACTATCATAAAAATGGATATGATCTTCCATCAAACCAATATCACCACCACCCAACAGCCAACCAAGATGATCAGAATTATTAGTATCCATCTGAGCTGGCGGCAACAAAGGCATCTGCTGCTCTTGTGATTCAAGAGGGAGAGGGGCCAAGTCACTATCACAAAATTGGATATAATCTTTCATCAAACCAATATCATTATGATCATCCATTAGCCAACTCACATAATCATCAATGCTGCTCATGGATGGTGCAGCAGCAGCAATATGAAGATCATCCAAATAGAAACCATCCGAATTTGTGGTGGAATAATCTTCTTGTTGGTGATGATGAGGAACTTGATCAGCAAGCAACATTGATTGTTGTTGACCTGGTGGATCTGGTAGCACACTAGTCCCCATGATATTCTCGTAGAATTCCATGAAACTGCAGGTACTAGTTGTTCTAGTTTTGGTACCACCATCCCTCATCATCACAACTCCAATTCTCTCATTCAAAGCCTCTAACACGGTTTCCAAGAAACTGTAATCAGTACCCTTTCTGGCCGAGAATGAACCCTTTTCAATTTTCTTTCCCAATTTCCCTAGATTCTTGTGTTTGAGAAGAATTGATTTCGCATCTTGTTGGTTTTCCGGCCAAGTCTCGATTTTGCTGTCGGCTCCAACAGAGACCACGCAGACGGTGACGTCGCACAATGTCGAGAGTTCGCTGGCCTTTTTCTTCAGAGTGGACATTCTCCTGGCCAAGGCGGGTTTCAGAACAGAGCCACCATTGGCGTCGATTTTAAGAACCTGCGGCTTCATCTTCATCTTCTTGGGTTTCTTGAACTTTAATTGAGGAGGAGCCATTAATTAATTCAACTCTGAAAGAGAGAAACAATGGAAATAATGGAATTGAAGAAACAAACAGCGGAGTGAATAGCGAGAAAGGAGGGTAACGGGGTATATAAAGGAATTCTAAGTTGACCGATAGTTGACTCAAGGTTAATTGGAGCCGAAGCAAACGGGAAAAACTAGCCCTTATAAATGCTCATGGGTTAAATGGCAGTCCTAGAAGACAAGATTTTATTGTCTTATTTGATTTTGTAATTGTAGTTCTTTTTCCTTTTTGAAATGGGAAATAATTAATCTTTTGTAGTTTGATAGAAGGTAACTCTAATCTCATTTTTTTTTTGGGAGTCAAAATGATATTTCTATTAAGAACCTAAACCCTAAAGTTTGTTACAATATTTTCATTAAAAATAATGTTTGTTACAATTATTTGTGAGAACATCGTGAATAATTGTAGTAACAAACTATCAATTGATAATCCTAAGATTGTCCAACTATATTAAAATTGGTCATGCCAACGGGATCTAATCCAGTGTAAAAAGGTCTTTGACTTGCTTACCAGTGGTTTTATGTTCAAACCTCCATGACACCTTAGTAGTGCGGGTGAGAAACCTCCCATCCTTTTGTAGTTTAGACTATTTATTTTGTTAAATTGCAAGAAATTTTGGGGGCATCATTGCACTACAAGCGCGCTAGAAGTGCTCTAAGAGCGTTTGAGGTCACCTACTTAATAACTTTAGTACTTTTTATTGAAATCACTTGGGTTTATGTGGAAACTCAAGGACAGGCTTTGGCCCGTTATGCTGGATTGCAAATTTGGTGCCTTTGTTCTTTCTTGCATGTGCTTGGAATTACAATGAAAATTTCCTTTCATTCTTTTTTTTGTTGTTGAAAGGTTTGAGCATGAGGACAAAGTTGAAAATCTCTCTTGTAGATATACAAAAGTTTAGGGGAAGATTGGCTATTCTCACAGCCAACACCAGGGTGAATCCATAATCTCGAGCTGGAAGGACTTACGGTAAAAATCTCTCCTTAACCTGCCATAAAATTGATAAAAGAGAATAGACAAAAAAACAAAGAATCAAATTCAAAATTAAAAGAAAACGCCAACCACCATACATATAGCTATTAACTAAGGGCTCGTTTAGGAGTGATTATGGATAGGCCAAAATCCCTTCTAGGAAGAACCACATCTTATGTACTTCTCCATATAATTACTTTAAGTGATTTTGGGCATAAGCACCTCCCATGTACTTCTCCATAAAATCATTTAAAACCACTTAAAGTGATTATTTAGGGAAGTGATTCTTCATAAAAGTGTTTTTTTAACTTATCCAAAATCACTCCCAAACGAGCGCTAATTTGGACTTTAGTCTTCATTGAATCATTGAGTAGAGCTTCTTTTTCAGGCAGAAGTTCAATAAAAAAAGTGGATCTTTTTCGAGCTAGACTTTCTTAATATTGAATTGAAATCCTATAATAAAAATAATAAAATATAAAATATTGAATTGAATAATTGTTGTAGTCTTCCTTTCTAAAATCATTTTGGGCTTGGGCTTCATGTTAGAAAGAGAAACAAATCAAGTAAAGAAATTAAAAACCCACAAGAGAAGTAGTAGAAGTTGACCTGCAACAACACTACGAATCATTAATACGGTAGTTGATCATATGGCTTTAATTCGGACTCTTTCAGTGACGTGTAAAGTTCGTTTTGATGCTAAAGGTTTCATTTTGTAATTTTATTTTGTCTTTTTTTTTAAAATAAAGAAAAGGATAATATTGTAGTAGTAGGTAAAGGGCAGTGGTCTTTGCAGCCACGTCAGCCAGTGGTTGGTAAAAAGCCTGCCTTAGAAAAAGTATCTCAACCAAATTGGGTTGGCCCCCACCACCACCATCCAAACCCACTCTCACCAACCCAACCCCATACACACATACTCTTAATATTTCCTCCTCCAATCACCAACCCCAATACTTTTCTCCAAATTTGTGATCTCCCACTTTTGCCCCTAAACATTTACATAATCTCATCTCTCTCCCTCCACCAACCTCACCCACCCTTTCCGCCTAATCCCTCTTGTATATGAACATCCCCTTCCCATACGCACCAATTAAGCTCAAATCCATTTTTCTTCTCTTTACTTTCTCTTCTCTTTGAAACATCTCTTTTTCATTTTTATTGTTCCTAATGGCAATTGAAACAACACCAAACGACATCGTTTACCGCTCCAAACTCCCCGACATTCCCATCCCAAAACACCTCCCTCTCCATTCTTATGTCTTCCAAGACAAGAACCACTTGAGCTCCAAGCCCTGCATCATCAACGGCACCACCGGTGACATCTACTCGTACTCAGATGTGGAGCTCAAAGCTCGCAGAGTCGCCTCCGGGCTCAACAAGCTCGGAGTCCAACAGGGCGACGTCATCATGCTCTTGCTCCCCAACTCCCCGGAATGGGTCTTCGCCTTCCTCGGAGCTTCGTTTTGCGGGGCCATGACCACCGCAGCGAACCCTTTCTTCACTCCCGCGGAGATCCTAAAGCAAGCCAAAGCCTCAAAGGCAAAGCTCATCATCACCTTGGCATGTTACTACGACAAAGTGAAGGACTTGTCATCATCATCATCATCAGCCGGTCATGATGATGTTCATGATATTAAGCTCATGTGCGTCGACTCTCCACCTGATCCCAGCTGCTTGCATTTCTCTGAGCTTCTCCAATCGGATGAAAACGACATGCCGGAGGTTGACATCGACCCAAACGACGTCGTCGCCTTGCCATACTCGTCCGGGACGACCGGGTTGCCGAAAGGGGTGATGTTAACCCACAAGGGGCTCGTCACCAGCGTGGCCCAACAGGTGGATGGGGAGAATCCCAACTTGTACTACAGCAGTGAAGACGTCATTTTGTGCGTGCTGCCGCTTTTCCATATTTATTCTTTGAACTCGGTGTTGCTTTGTGGGCTAAGAGCTGGAGCTGCCATTTTGATGATGAACAAGTTCGAGATTGTTTCTCTGTTGGGGTTGATCGAGAAGCACAAGGTTAGTATTTGCCCCATCGTGCCGCCAATCGTGCTGTCGATCGCCAAGTTCCCCGATCTCGACAAGTACGACTTGTCGTCGATTCGGGTGCTCAAGTGTGGAGGGGCACCTCTGGGGAAGGAGCTTGAAGATACTGTGAGAGCCAAGTTTCCTAAAGTCACACTTGGTCAGGTATGTACACAATTAATTAATATATTCTTTATTTATATTTTTGAAACGACGTCGTTAGCATGCTTTATGGATTTAGAATTTAGGACAGCATAATTACGATTAACCAAAACCACAAATTTAAGTACTTAAATTTGGTTTTGAAGTCGCTTTCCCTCTTTACTCCTCTGAGTTTTGCAAAGATAAGAAAAGTATAAATTAGTTGGTGGTGGGTTGCACAGATTTGACTCGTACGTTATGAGAGATTAATGTCATGCCAACGACAAATGGGGACAACAAAGAATTTGTCTTCATTTGTAGGGTTACCTTGTACCACAAGTGCGTACATCCTTTGATAGATGGCCGGTGAGTTCTGAATATAAACCAATCAATAAGTTTACCTATCACTTTGAGTCCTTCGTTTACCTACCACTTTGAGTCATTGACATGTGACAAGTTTTACAATATATAATGTTTTTTTTTTGCGACATTTCGAACACTATTTAGTTGTTAACGTTAGCATTACTCAAAACGTCGTCGTGTTGGTACGCTCTTAGAATATATATATATATATATATATATGTGTGTGTTTTATATGTTGGTCTATTGAGGAATTGGTGTATTGTTCAAAGGGTAGACTTCAGAAGGTGACACTAAATCTAAATTTTACATTAAATTATTTGTTATGATTGATATATAACCCATTTAATAGTATAATCCAAATTAATTCCCTTTCCCAATAGTCTGGCCAACACATTTTGGTTCATTTGGGAGACTTTTCAATTGCTAATCATGATGAAGTATCTTTAATTAGTTTAATAATCATTGTTAGGTTGAAATTAACGGGTCCAAAATGAATGATGCGTGCAGGGATATGGAATGACAGAGGCAGGCCCCGTGTTGACAATGTCATTGGCATTTGCCAAGCAACCCTTTGAGGTGAAGCCAGGGGGATGTGGCACTGTCGTCAGAAATGCCCAACTCAAGATCGTTGACCCTGAAACTGGAGCTTCTTTGCCACGCAACCAGCCTGGAGAGATTTGCATTAGAGGTGACCAAATCATGAAAGGTATGCCTTGCCTTCTACTGCTTCATATTTGTATATGATTTAAGAAAATTAGTAGTCAAAAATGTTGAATAATTAATACACCATGTACATGTCCCAAATATAAATTCCACATCGGCTTTATTGTCATCGAATTATCTAAGAGTGGTGTTTGATACAGTCGTTCATACACATTAATATAATTTTTCTTTCCCTGCTTCATGTCACTTAAATGTAATAATTTCGAAAGTAATGTAGGATGTACGAACTTTAGGTTTGGTACGAACTATAAATAAAATCTATAGCTTTATCCAAAGTAATTTAGGATGTACAAATGTGGGTTAAGCCAGCTGGTTAGGACAGTAAATCCGCCTATTTGTACGCAAATTTGAATCCCCTTCTCGTAGGTAAGATTAACTTAGAGTAAATTATTGATTGCATAATAGGCATTGGCAAATACTATATTTATTAAAATGTTGGTAATTACATAATTATTAATTAATGACTTTGATTGGCTTTCATAAATTAATCTCAGGTTATCTTAATGATCCTGAGTCCACAAGGGCAACCATAGACAAGGAAGGTTGGCTTCATACAGGCGATATAGGCTTCATTGATGATGACGAAGAGCTCTTCATTGTTGATCGGTTGAAGGAACTCATCAAATACAAAGGGTTTCAAGTGGCCCCTGCTGAGCTTGAAGCCTTGCTCGTTACCCATCCTAGTGTTTCTGATGCTGCTGTTGTCCCGTAAGTCATTAATTTATGATGAACATATAACATCTCTCTC